CCCCCCCTCCCCGCATACAGGAGAGGTGTCCAGATTCGCCAGCCGTGCCGGGGAGCGGAGAGAGAGAGAGAGGTCAGCAAGGAGCCGTATTTTGGGGAGCTCCCCTCGAGCGGCTGAAAACCCTCCGTCCCAGCGTGGTTTTGACCTGCCGTGGAGAGGCGAGAAGGGCAGGGCTGGCCGCCCCGCAGGGGTTGGGCGTGCGCTCATTTTTGTCTCGGAAAGGTGCGAGTCGCGGCACGGAAACAGGAGTTTCCCGCAGTAAACGAAGGCTCCCAGGGAACAAAACGGTTCGTCCCGCCGACGAGCGGGGACCGACTGGGACATGCCACAAATCCCTGCCAGAAAGGGGAGATAAGGAAGAAAGCATGTCGAGAAGTAGATAGGGGTAACGGAGCAGGATAAGCCTTGAGCAGCCTGAGAGATTATTATAAACAAAGATCTGCTCTGGCACAGGAACGGGTATTGTGTACGGCTGTTATCTTTACGCTTTTTTTTTTTTTTGGGTGTTTTGCTAAGCTTTTAGTACTGGCAGAAAGTAAGTCGTCGGTTTCGTGCTCTCCTTGGTCGGTGGGTATTGCACAGGAACGCTTTCACCGCGTCAAGAGTCCAGCTGTGGTGCTGGGCATCTGAGCGAGCCTGTTGTTTTGCTATCGATGGCATTTTGGCAGGTGTTTAAGCAATGTGTAAAGGTGACAGAGCAATGGTCCTAACACCGATGTGCTATTTCTTTTTATGCAGCTTCATTTTAAAATGGGATCTACAGGGTTGGGAATGCTTATTTTTATAGGTCAGATTGGTTCTCTGGCCTGCCACCGTACCAGCCTTTTAAAAAAAGAGTTATTATGGGGGTCTGGGAGAGAGGAGTGACACTTTGGTGGTTTTTTTTTTCAGCATGTAAATTGTAATTGTAGAACATATCTAAACCTAGCATAAATTTTACATTTTTTTTTTTTTTTTGACTAATACTTTTGAGACGATACAAATTGAACAATAAGGCCAATGGGGGGTTTGTGTGTGTTTATGTATATATGTATATATTTGTAATCTGGGGTTTCAGAATGATTTTAGACACATCATTGGTATAACTAAAATAATAGTGTATTTAAAAATTGTTGAATCCTAAGTAGGGAACCAAAAAGGCATAAGAAGTGTGTTATGTTTGGCTTGGAACATTAGTTATTAGAAAGGGAATTAAGAGGAAAAAGAGCACCTTGGCCAAAGGGATTGAGGGAAATTAATTATGGAGAAAGTAAAAAGAAGAAAACATGCAATTAGTTAAGTAAAGATGAAGGTTTGATAAAAGACATCAGTCTTCTGCTACTTGCAGAGTGGCGTTACCAGCTAAGTAGAAGGATCCTTTAGTGTAAAGTGATGGGTTCAATTAGGAGCAATGAGGGAAAACTTAAGATTAGACCACAATTGTGCATTTTCAGGGAGAAACAGTGTTAGTGCTCCCCAACCTTCACGGTGCCATGGGCAATGATATTAAGCAAATAATGTGCTGTGCACAACATAATTCTTTGCTCTTCCTGTCAACTTTCATGTTAACTCTTTGATTTCCTGTGCATATGAGCAGTCTTGTAGGTTTTCACAGGGTATGCAGAAATCATGGGCTAGGAACCAGGGTAGTAGGTCTTTTGGGCCATCTCCAACTTCTTGTTCCATGTAAGATAGGGGAGTAATTGACTGTATAATTGCAATACAAGCAGTTTGGTTCATATTAGAACTGTGCTTTTGCTTGTCTCTCTGCCTGCTTTAAGCATGTACCTAAATCACTATGATTCCTCATGCACTCTTTTTATAAAGTGAGATTTAATGATTTAAAGCGTTCAAGATTGCTGGATATAAGGTGCTGTAGAATAATGGCATTACTCAAGTGTATGAGGAAGAAGGGTGAAATAATGAAAGATGTTTGTGATGCTAATGAACATGCTAGGTGAGGTGGCTTAAGAGAGGAGCTTATTATGCAAGTTCATTAAGTTATTGACCTTATTATACATTTATAAAGTTTTTGGGGAAAGTATTTTTGTCTTTATTAAGACAAGCTGGTTTGTTGCAGCAGGATTCTTAACTTATTTAACAACTTTCTTTCAACTGTGATACTGCATTAGTTTCAAATGTGGTTCATCTTAAAACTCCAGTGTGGACAGCAGAGCTCTTCTGGGTTAGTCCAGAACCAGGTTATTCAAGATTCCCATGTAGCCCTACAATAAATAAAATAAAGTTTAGTAAGCTGAGTGCTGCTTCCAAATAGTAATGCCATGCTAGACAGTGTAAATGATGTCAGGAGTTATGTTTGCTGCCCTGCCTTGTCCAGTCATGCCATGTATTACAAAACACAGCTGGAGAATGCTGCAACAGTTATGAAAATAGTTTAGGATAGTACTGTTTAGGCTTCATAACTGCTTAAATTAAGCTTATTTGGAAAACAATTTAGCTTTTTGTTAATAAAGATAGGGTATGAGTTTTATGTGAAATACCTGACAGTGTGTAATGGTTACATGCAGAAGGTTCTGTTTTAATGGATTTGGGAGGAGGGGGGCGTTAATAATAATAATAATAAAAAAACCAAACCCTGATGTAATTTGACTGTCAAATATAAAATTCAAGACTTTTGCTAGTACATGACAACACTAGAGATGTCTTGTCATCTTTGCTTGGGAAGCATTTGGCTCATTTTGGATGCTGTAATATAGGTGATAAATACAGTAGTTCCTACATGTTGAAGCTGTATATGCAACCAATGGTCATTAGGACTTTTTAATATGAATACTTTGTAGTGGGGACACCTAATGCTCTAATCTTTTGTGGGGAGATGGGGATGGATGGACAGTGGAAAAGAATAAAAAGCAGCTTCTTTGTGTGGGGATCATGAAATTTTTGCTTTTCTTGAGGGCTGAAAACATGTCTGGCATGACTTCTGTATAATGACATCCATATTGTATAGTGGATAAGGAAAGTATGCAGTGGCAAATACAGTATTAACATGAAGGTTGTGACAGTGATGAAAGTGAGTATACTTAACCTTACCATGCTCCACTATTATTTTTGTTGTTTGTTTTGAGAAGCGAAGTTGTGTGTGTTTTGGAGTGTACAGTGCTACAGTACCTCACTGTGACTTTGGGGTCCTTGTAGTAAAGTAACTACAAGAGGAGTACAATTGAATTTTTAAATGAACTTCATTAAACACAAGCTTTTCACATACGAGACCTTGACTCAATTGTGCTAGCATGCATGACAAAACAGTGGGGCATCGTTCAGAATTAGTATTATTGCTCTGAGAAAAATATGCCATGTGTCTGCCAACTGAGATTTGTATTTGGGGATTCAAATATTTCTCTGTTAAGAATTTTTGTTAGAAGAGCACTCTTGATGGACGCATAATGTATTCCAGATGATTGCATGTGCATTCTAAATTATCTTATGTGAGAGAGAAATTTTTAGATATGCACAATAGCTGTTTTTTCTAAATGAAAATAATTTTAATAGAAGGGGACAAAAAAGTTACTGTCTCTACTCAACCTGATGCAAATTTTGCTTCATGCTATCAGTTCTGTTTAAGTAAACTTCATTCTCTGGTTGTGTCAGCTTGCTAAGGTAACCAGAAAAAATGCAATAACTCTTCCTTTCCAGTTTTCTTGGCTAAGTAGTGCTGAAAGGGTTAATTGGCTGACTAATTAGAATAGGCCAGTTAATATGCTGCCAAAGTAATAGCTTAACTGAACACATGCTCAAAGTATTTCCAGTTTTTAGGCAGAATGTGTAAGGCCTTCAAGGGCGTCAATCGAGTCTGTGGCTGAAATGCCTACATATATTTAAAAAACGTTAAGGGAAAAATAGGTAAGAATGATATCTTTTGGAACTTGCTGAATTGTAACAACACTCTTATTTTTTTTTTTTTTTTTTTTCCCTAGAGTAAATTCAATAGGCTTTCTATTCCATATTTTTATTGTAGTATTATTTGGGGAAAGTAACTGTAGTGTATTTTAAGGGTCCCTTCAAATAAAACTGTATCAGATACAGTATCCAGTGAATGAGCAAAATTTAGTAACAGCTTAAAGCTAACTTCCAATGTGTAGAATGGCAGTATTGTTCCTACAGTTACTATGTAGCCTTCTGCAGGAGGCCTGATAATAGATAACACCAGTTATATTTATGGGGTAAGCTAGAAACTGATCCATTTGCAGCATATTTTTTTTCTTTTGTTCTTCTTTCTCTCTTTGGCTGGCTTTGGGGAGAGAAGTGGTGAGCCAGAAATGCTTCTCATCCTCAGAATTTTTTCTGGTCCTGAGATCTCTCTCTCTAACATTTGTTCCTTTGTTTTGCTTCTCAGTGCAAGCTGTATTTCTTGTGTCCTGACATAAGTGTAGCAACGTGTTTTTTGCAGGCACAAACAATCTTTACCACAAAAGCATCAGATGTAAATCTAAACATATGTACTTAGAAAGTATTTATGAAATGGGTAGGAAAAACTAAGGGTAGATGAACAAAGTACTGCAAGTCATAATGCTTCTATTGTCAATTCAAACTTAAACACAATTAAAAACCTTGTTAAAAATACTCTTTCTGCATAATTACTTACCAGAAAGGATATTTTTGGATTTGGACAATATAATTATGTACACCTGATTTTTATTTGAATTTGGAATGATTAATTGAGAAGATAGGATAGATGTAGCTAGGAGAAATATAATTCATACTGTCACCAAAACTTTATAAATGCAGTGTTGAGGTCTCAGTTGCACCAAGATCAGGACATTGTGGAATGCTTCCTACAGTAGACATATGTTCGTTTCTTACATTTGCGTATTAATCACTAACATGAGTCATGATGTATGTACTTCTGTTGTTTAAAATAAACCTTATGTGCACATATGACTAGGTGTAGTTCCCTTTTTTTCTTAATAGTAAGCTTAATAGAGGTATCGTTGAGGGGGAAACAACTAAGAATCCCAAATGTTATAGGTGTCTGACTGGGTGGATCATCTTATTAACTGCCATGTCTCCCATCTATATTTACTTCAGTTCCTGAAGAGCTGCTGAAGTCTGTCTTAGTTCTCATGGAGAAATTT